GGGGCGTCTTATTGATGGAAAAATACAGTACATATTTGGCCTGAAAACAGATCAAAACAGGACTATTTTGTTCTGCATATGGGCCAAAACCCAGTGGTTCTGGGCAGAAGTATTTGAGAAGAGGAGTGGGAAAAAGCCAAGGACAGCGAAGCAGAGGCAGGGAAGAGAAGGCGGTGGGCAGGGTGGTGGAACATGCTGCGTTTCTGAAGACAGGAGGGAAGAGGTGGTGATACACATAAGTGTTGTCCTTATCACCCAATAAAATCACTCCAGATCCCTGTGCTGTTGTGGTTTTCATTCTGTTTCTGCCAAACTGAGACTCATTCAGAATGGTTTGGCAGACCTTCCAGAGTACAGTGCATTAGCTTTTTGTTCATAATTAAGTACATTTTCCATTTCTTACATAGACCTATTTAAGTTAATAGGACAGGCTTTCATCTGTAATCCCATCCCATCTTTAGCAACAACCCTCAGTGTGCCTTTATTACCTCACAATCAAGGCAGCTTAGAAATCCAACCAAAGAAGATAAATACTCACAGGCACGCAGCCATATAACACCTTTTACAATGCTTTGTGGAGAGGAAGGAGCCATATTCATTTCAACATTCAACAGCTCACCAATTGAGCAGGAGCTCAATATCCAATCCAGAGCTTTCACTCTCGTGATACATTCCTGCAGAACCATGTACAGTACTTCAAGTAGAACCTACTCATGTCATCTGCACATCCTGTGGAGAAGTGCTGAGGATTCCTCTCTTGCATGAGATTTGGGGAGCAGCTAGAAATCAGGACTTTACACAGCTGTGGCACTAATCCTCTGGAATATTTTTTCTCCAAAAATCTGGATGGCACCTTCTCCCCTTGTATTTAGAAACAGATGGAATCACAGCTGTTTAGGAGAGCTTTCAACGGTTAATATCTTAGTCATGCAGAATGTCTGATAGTTATGAGAATGAGAATCTTAAGGTTTAATAATTTTATCAGTTTAATTTTCTTGATCTTTTTAATGGCTATTTATTCATTTATCAGATTTATATAGCTGCCCATCTCATGAATGTGACCCCGGACAGCAATCACTAAAACCACCAATTTTTAATGGTGTTGTGGTATCATTTTATCTTATATACCATCATTAACCGGCTATGAGCATAGCAGTATCAAAATACAGTAAATAAATATCTGGACAGATATCTGTTAATAGTTCACAAGGAAAGCACATTTTAAACTAC